TTTGTAGCTATGACTTTATGTATTAACAATGATAACATTTACTAAATACCTTAAAAAATAAATGTCGAATGTTTTGAGTTTTCCTTTAATAATATTACTGGTAAAATAAGACTTCTAGTCTTTCTACAATTCAATCGTTTTAAAACTATCTCTTAGTCTTCTCTTTCTGGATGAAAATCCCTGCAATGCAACTATTTTACAAGGTTAACAATTTCAAAAAGAGTTTGAAAATAACCTATTAACATTGTTCCCAACTCAACAGATCACCAAATCCTACTACAGTATTCTATCTCAGACATATTTTCTAAATCTTGCTAATAATCTACAACTTCTTTATCACTGTCTTCATTTAGACCCTAAAAATTAATGCTCTTGAATTGGATAAACAGTTCCCTAACTCTTCTGTTTCTGGTCACAAACCTGTTTAACCCATCTCATATACGCAAAGTGATTTTCTAAAACATAAATCTGATTATGTCACTCATGTTTTTAGAATCCTTCTGTCATTTCTGAATGTGGTCTCCTTGTTCCACTTACATCAGAATTACTTGGGACAATTAAAAACGTAGCCTTTAAGTATACTCCTTGAAAATAGCTCCAAATATCTCACCTTGTATGATCCTGCATCCCCAGTCCATAGACTCTGACTGGGACTTAGTCAGAACTCAATAAATATTTGCTGAATTAAGGAATTCTTGAATTGCACTCTAAAGCTAAACAATCAGAATCTGGAATAAAGAATCCTATGTTTTCTTAAGCTCCTTCAGTGATTTTTTTTTTTTAAATCCATACTAAACTCTTGGAAACATCAATACAAAGGATAATGTCCACATTATACAGAAGGGCTTCATAAGGAAGGCCCTTCACAATCTGTACTCTAGCTACTTTTCCAAGTTCATCTTTTGCCACTTGTTACTTGCATAGCCATAGTGAAATAGAGTTTCATTCATAAAAAGCAATGTTGCTGACCTCTTGAATGGCTCTTTTTCCTGCTGTGTCCTTTCCCCTTTGCTAGCTTTACAACTTAAGTAGAAACTCTTTCTTATGAAGCTTTGCCTGACATCTTCATGCTTTCTTCTCATCTACGCTCCCACAACACCTTGCTCTATTTTTGTACTATACTATCATACTGCTTTTGTTTACTTCAATTTCTATACCATGAGTTCAGTCAGGAACTGTCTTATTCCTTTGATTTCCAGAGCCTAGTACAGTGAGAATAGGCACTTACTCTCATTCAAATGTTTGTTTAATGACAGAATGAATGAATGAAAAATGTGAAGAGGCCAGAGAGTACAGGATTTAAGTTATAAATCCAAGTCAATGTTCTGAGTCTTTTAGGAACCAGCAAGTTAATACATAAGAATCTGGTTGCTCTCTGTTTTCCAACACTTTTTCCAGTGCAATGGTTCTCGAAGTGTGGCATGGGCACCACTGGTGTCTTTAAGACCATTTCAGGGGGTCTATAAAATCAAACCGTTTTTGTAATAATACTAAAATATTATTTACCTTTTTCATTCTCATTATCTCATAAGGATACAGTGGAGTAATTTAGAGGCTACATGATGTGTGATATCACAACTGACAGCACATAGAAAATCCAGTTTTCTTCAATTACAACATTAAAGAGATTTGCAAAATGTAAAATAATATATTCATTAATTTTTTGAAAATTTTATTTATGTTAATATGTTATGTTTATTTTAAAATGAATTAATTTTTAATTAATTTTTAAATTTAATTAATATTTTTTAATTAAGAATATGATAACTATTAACAGATAATAAAATTTAGAAAGCTCTTTAGGGTCCTTAATTTTTCAGACTGTAAAGGAGACCTTAGATCAAAAAGTTTGGGAGCCACTGCTCTAATCTTTTCACAAACTGGTCAAATTATGCTGGGCTCAGTGGCTCATGCCTGCAATTCCAGTGCTTTAGGAGGCTGAGGTAGGATGATTGCTTGAGATCAGGAGTTCAAGACCAGTCTGAGCAACATAATGAGACCCCTATTTCTACAAAATAATTTAAAAAATTAGCCAGATATGATGGTGCACACCTGTAGTCCTAGCTACTTGGGAGGCTAAGGTGGGAGGATCGCTTGAGTGAGGAAAGTGTGAAGATGTCAGGTAAATCTTTCTAAGGAAGCATTTCTACTTGAGTTACGTTGTAAAGCTAGCAAAGGAGAAATTGAGGATTCAGTGAGCTACGATCACACCATTGCATTCTAGCTTGGGTAACAGATCAAGATCCTGTCTGACACACACACACATACACACACACACACACACACACACACACACACACACCCAAACCCCCCAAACTGGTCAAATTATACAAATTGGTGTAAATCAATTAATCACCCATCCAAAATTCACGGAAACAGAAATTGTTACTTAAGAAGGCCTGCTACTCAAGGTTTTACTTACTTTCCTCTCCAACTATTGAATGGCCAAACTTCTCTAAGCATACCTGTTATAGTATCCAGCATGCAAGCCTGTCAAAATTGTCTCTTCTTCCATGAAATTCTTCCTGATTTTTGACAACTGCATTTGCTACTTGCCAGTGTGATCTGTACAGCATTTCCTCACCTCTCTTGTTTTTCTATATCTTAATTACATGTATGCTTGCTTTTCCTTCCTATCAGACCATAAAAGCCACGAAGGCACAGTGATATAATGTGGAAAGAATATGTGCTTTGGGGTCTAACACACCTGGTTTTGAATTCCAGTTTCCCTTTCACTAATTCTGAGACCCGGGGCAAGTTTTTGAAATGCTTAGGGCTCTTGTTGCCACATTTTTGAATGGTGATAATAATCATTGCTTTCTTGTCATCCTGCTCAAATAAGAAGAGCTTAGCACAATGCCCAGCATAAAATGGGCAACCAATAAATGGTAGCTATTACTATTAACAATCTGTAAATCTTGTATTTCCATTCATATTACCTTCAGCACTACAGGCACTTAACAAATATTTCTTAGGTTAATTAAAATCTAACATATTGCAGAACTTTCTCCCTGAAGCAGAAAGAATATGAGACTCAAACAAATACCAACCAGGGTCATCTGTTCTTCCTTTCTTTTCAGACTGACTCCTTTCAGTAGGATTATTCATGCTTTTTATCCGTCTGAACTTCTTTTTTTGCATTCCTCTTATTCTTCAACTATAAAGCTCTTGTTAGTTTTTTCTTTTTAAACTATAAGTATCTTTTAAGTATTCTCTTTTGGTTCCCCTGTGATTATTTCTTATTTACCACTAGGTTGTTCCATAAGCTGAAGGAGTATTCCTTCTGAGATTGCTAAAGAAATAATTTTCCTTCCTTCAGCAGAGGCAAAAATATTTTATTTGTATTACTTCAATCACATATATGTTTAGCTTTTATAAATAAAATGGATTCTGTAGTTTTAGGATAATTTAAATACATATTATATACCAGAGACTGAAGACATCAGAAAATAACCTTTTATACAAAAAGGGTTTCTCAAAGAAGGCGTTCAAAACTTACATATGCTTATTATCAATTTGTGATAGACCTCAGAGACATGCAAAACAGCATCCTTGCCTCAGCAACAAGAACTCTGTTTCAAACTTTCAAGCATCACCAAAACCTTAACTATTGATGCTAAAGGTATTGTTAATTTCAAATTGTTTAGGGACAACAGAATACAATCTAATACTAAGAGAAAACCCAATCAAATTCTTTGGGAAACTCTGTTCTTGATTTTAAGTACTTTTTTAAACTTAGCAGGTAATAAGTGTTAAGAACATCTCTCAAAAACTCAAGTTCTAACAAATTCCCTCTTTTAAAGTTCCTAGATGTCCTTTTCATAAAATTCACTTTTTATTCCCTGCTTCAAATCCCTGAATATTATGACAAGAGCACAGTATGAGAAAAAATAGTCTCAAGATTTTTATCTTACCTGTTTCTAAATCTCCTCTGGGCCTGTGGAACTCAGTTATGTCACCTAGATTACAATGATCTCAACCCTGAAGATCCTGAGGAAGATCGCACAACATCCCTCAAGCATTCTTCTTACTGCCATAGTTTGTATTCAAAAATGGCAGAAACAAGAGCTAAAATATGGATTTGTTTTTCTCTGTCCAATCCATATCCCTTCGCCGTTTTCAAAAATTCAAATCGTGCTTTAAACACCACCCGAAGAACAGCCTATAGGTAACTCTCCTAGATTATTATGAAACTCCTGAGAAGGGCGAAAGCCAAAGTACCAAGAGTGCCAAACAGAAATGAAGAATCTCACAGGAAAGCAGAATTTTTTTTTTTTTTAAACGTGTCTGTAAGAGAATGATGCCTTGATACAGAAACTTAAACTGTGATGAGTTCTCCAAAGGTCTGTGAGAAAAAAAGGATAGATGAGAAAAAGAGTTAAGAGGCGGTGCCAGGGAAAAGGGCACACAGGCACTTCTCAACTGCAGAGACGGGAGAACCCTGGAGGTCGGCCTTCTCATCCGATGGTTGATCGAATCCCCTTCTACACATCCCAGACTAGGATCGACCAGCCCGTCCTTCTTTTAGAAGAAAGTCACCTCTCCCACCCCCGTCTCCCAATGCCCCCTTCCAAGCACGCTGTCACCCACCTCCAAGGACCGTGCCCAGGAAGATGCATTTCTTTTTGTGACGTTTCAGAAAATTCCATACAGACCTCAGCATCTTTAGGCCCTAGGGGTGTGTGGGCTGACTAGGGGCGAGGGCCTGCTTCACCGGGAAACTGTTTCTTCGTCACCGGGCCCGGATGACCAGGCAAGAGCGCCGTCGTCCCGCTCCGTGCTCTCCCGAAACCACAAACTTGACTTTCCGCTGAGTCTGTCACCGGAGCGGGAAGGGGGCGTGGACTCCGGCAAAGCAGCTGCGCTTTCTGCCGCTGCCGCCGCGCCGCCGCCGCCGCTCACTGGTCCGACACGCCCAGGTCCGTTCAGAAATCGCTCCCGGGTGTCTTGCCATTCGGCTCCCCCGGAAACGGGAGCCCGCGTCTGCCGCGTTCCGCTGCCGGCGCTCCTCCTCCGCCGCGGCCTCTGGCGCTGAGTGGCGTCAGGGTATGGAGGCGAAGGCGGCGCCCACGCCGACCACAGACGGCGCGTGCTCGGTGTCGGCAGAGGAGACCGAAAAGTGGATGGAAGAAGCGATGCACATGGTGAGGAGTCCGGGAGGTGGATGCTGCGGGTGGGAACTTTCTCCAGCCCTCAAGCTCACCCCTGCTTTTGAGCAAACGTTGCGGGAGCACTTTCTCGTCACCTGATTTTTATGGCAGTCGGATGTTCTGGGTGAACCACTGGCTTTACTGCCTCGAAACTTTCTGTAGCCCATTCTCACAGTGGCTCTGGGCGAAGGAAGGGGAGGAAATAAATTATTTGTTTCATTGGGGTGGTATATGCTGCAGGCTTACTCTATTGCTGGCTGGCATGTGCTGCCTCCCTTTCCTTTCTGTGGTCACACACTCTCAAATCTACAAAGTCACACTGTTTGGGGTTTTGGCCCTTGGAACATGTCTAGAACGTTTCTGGGGGAAAGCAGTATGGAAACAAGTCCCGGTGCAGTCGCCGTCTCACATTCATTCATTCTTTTCCTCTGCCCTTTTACTTCCTTCCCTCACTCCCTTGAGGACTTTGGAGTAAAGGGGGCTCGCAATAGTTGGGTGTGTGCCAGCGAGCTTCTTAACTGAGATCAAAGTTTGTTTGTAAATATATGTATTTACATTTTAATAACTGTACTTACAGCCACGTGCCACATAATGACCTGTCGGTAAGGGTCGTTATCCTGGAGCATTAATCTGCTTACCTTACCACTATTGTCCCATCCAAGTACTAAGCAGGCCTGACCCTGCTTAGCTTCGGAGATCTGGGCGCCTTCAGGGTGGTATGGCTGTAGATAACACAGTTCTCTATGTAGATTTCTTGGCTAAACACTTTTGCTACCTTTTAGGTGACCTTGGGCTCGCACATGTAAATACATTTAGGTACGTTTACAAACAAACGTTTATCCCAGTTAAGAAGCTAGCTCACTAGCACTTTTCAGCTCCATTATAATCTTATAGGACCACATATTCTGCAGTGGTCCTATAGAATTATAAAGGAGCTGAAAAGTTCCTGTTGCCTAGTGACATATAGCTGTCCTAACATTGTAGCACAATTACTTTATTTGAAAACAAATTTAGTGTAGCCTAAATATACAGTGTTTAACAGTAATGTCTTAGGCCTTCACATTCACTCACCATTAACTCTCTGACTCACCCACAGCAACTTTCAGTCCTTCAAGCTCCATTCATGCTAAGTGCCTTATATAGGTATACTATCCATTTTTCATCATTTATACTACATTTTTACTGTACCTTCTCTATGTTTAGATACATAACTACTTACTATTGTGTTACCATTGGCTACAGTATTCAGGACAGAAAAACATGTTGCATTGGTTTGTAGTCCAGGAGCAACAGGCTATACTGTAGAACCTATAACATCATATTCTGTGATGTTCTTTTAAACTTGCTTCTCATACTCTTTAAGGTGACCTGCAGTGAAAAACCAATTTCATATTACAATCCAGGAAACGCACATATGTGTATAACTTAAATAAAAGTTTCACAGAAGAGTTCTTACCCTTCTTATGTACGTTCTTCTGATATTTCTATTTTACTACATTATTTTAAAATGATGGTCATGACCCACTAACATGACATCATGGCCCATTCTTTAAGCCTACTTGCAAATTTATTTCTTCCATTAAACTTCAAGGATGCATAACCTTCTATCTGACACGAGAAATTGCTGGGCATAGTGACACACATCTGTAATCTAAGCTACTTAGGAGGCTAAGGCTGGAGGATAGCTTGAGGCCAGAAGGTTGAGACCAGCCTGGGCAACTAGCAAGATCCCATCTCAAAAAGAAAATTAATGTTCACATATACATTTTAAAGATTAATTTGTAATATGGGTTTATTTACCCTGAACTCCTTTTTTGTTACTAAATTTTCCAAGTTGGAGACAAGTTTTTACGTGATACCCAAAATTTACTTTTTTCTCCTAGAGCATTTCAGTAATATCATGTGCTAGTCTGTTTCTTAATAGTGATGATAATAAAATAATAACGACGCATGAAGGCTAGAATACCATAAAGTAAGCTGCATTTGTATCCTTTGATGGATGAGAGATTTAGAGAACAGGTGATGTCTGAATGTTGGGAGGTCAGAATTCATGGTCCCTTCTATGTTCATGAACTCTCCTAAAGGTGTTTATTTGTAGATTCTACTTAGATGACATTTTTAGAGCTGCTGTCATAGTGGTTTCAAAAACAGCTAAGTTTTTGGAGTCATTGAGTGAGTCTTTTCACTTTGTATATTGGAATTGTGTTTTCTTTCCATCCTTATATTTTAGATCTTGATTTCCCTTTAAGGGTCTTTTGGTCCTAATATCTTGGAGCATTCATCTGCCCACCTCAGCACTTTTCTCCCAGCCAAGTACTAACCAGACCTGACCCTGCTCTTCTTCCAAGATCAGATGAGATTGGGTGCTTTGAGGGTGGTATGGCAGTAGACTGTGCCATTCTCTATGAAGACTTCCGGGCTAAACACTTTTGTTACCTTCTTGGGTGGCCTTGGGCAAATAAGTTAATCCCCCTAAGGTTTTGCTTTCTACTCTATAAAATAAATTGGTAGAACTTCAAAGAATTTCTACACCCTCTAGCTTTGACATATTTGTCTCTTAATTGTATTATAAACACCTAGGGGTCTGATTCCATAGTTTACCTCCTCCAACATAGGATTAAGGGGGCAGCTGCTGCTTCGATTTTGGCCTGTACATGTTTCTTCAAGGTCTTAAAGTAAAAAAAAAAAAAAAGGTACTTGTCATAAATCTGGTGCTTTATTTTCAACCATTAGCTATCCCCAACCAGGTATTTCAACTCTGACATTATTTAGAAATACCACTTCTTTTGAGAAGAGATTTAAATTAGACCAAAGGCATAACTAATAATCAAAGCTGGAAACAGCAAGTTAATCTCTGATTAATTTGTACTGAAATTTGAAAGTGAAATGACCACACAGACTGGAATGTGATAACTGTTCACTGTAATCTCAAAGTCCTGGGCTCAAGCAATCCTTGCACCTCAGCCTCCCCAGTAGCTAGTACTGCAGGTGTGCGCCACCACGCCTGACTAATTTTTTAGCTTTTTGTAAACATAGGTGCTCACTGTGTTGCCTTGGCTTGTCTTGAACTCCTGGCCTCAAGCAATCTTCCCATTCTGGCCTTTCAGAGTGCTGGGATTATAGGTGTAAGCCACAGTGCCTGGCCTAGATATAATGTTACATATCACAAGTAATTAAACAAGCAGAGAATATAAATTATTTTATACTATACATATAGGTTTAGAGGTTAGCTATGTTCAAATGGCTACTGACTAGCAAACTAACCTGGAAAAGTTCTTAATTTTTTAGCCTCAGTGTTCTCTTCTGTAAATTAAGAATATCATTTCTATCTCAGAGGGTTGTATAGGCTGAGAGATAATGTTTGTAAAGCACTTGACATAATATGCCCAACAAATGAAAACTGTTATTTTTACCAGGTGACTGAAGACTAGACAAGAACCTGCAAAAATAGTTAACATGCTAAAATTATGGGTGATTTTTTTAAAAAGTATCAATAAATTTTTGTAGTAAAAGTCTAATTGAAAAGATAGAATTAAAGAGTAAAGTCACATAAAAAATAATAAAACCATAAGAGAAGTTGGAGTAAATAAACGTTAGTATTTATATAATCTTGGAATGGAGAGGGACTCTTTATACCACCAAAAGCAGAAAACATAAAAGAAAAACAGATAAGTTGTCATTTAGAAAACATCTACATGTTTGAAAAGGTAAGATACAAAGTAGCATGGCCAGACAGAGTGGCTCATGCCTATAATCCCAACACTTTGCAAGACAGAACCAAGAGGATCTCTTGATTTCAAAAGTTGAAGAACAGCCTGAGCAATATAACGAGACTCCATCTCTACTAAATAAAAATTAAAAAATTAGTAGGGCATGGTGGCACCTTCCTGTTGTCCGAGCTACTCGGGAGGCTGAGGCAGGAGGTTTGTTTGAGCCCTGGAGATTGAGGCCAGTGAGCTGTGACTGTGACACTGTACTCCAACCTGGGAGACAGAGCCAGACCCTGTCTCAAAAAAAAAAAAAAAAAGATACAAAGTAAAGGAAATGACAAAGAAGGAAAAAATTTGCAACATATATAAAAGGACAGGTTTAATAACCTTAACATATAATTTATATATTTATATAATACATAATTTATATAAAATATAAGTACTTTCCAAAGTAAAAGGAAAGATGTACACCCTAATACAGAAGAGGTCAAAGGATATGAATATGATATTTCTGTTTTAGATTTCTTTTTATTAAAAAAACGATTTTTTTTTTTTGAGACAGGGTCTCTCTGTGTTGCCCAAGCTGGTATTGAACTCCTGGGCTTGGGCAATCATCCCACCTCAGCCTCCCAAAGTGCTGGGATTACAGGTATGAGTCACCACACCTCACCTGAACATGGTATTTCTAAAGGAAGTGACAAGTAGCCAGCAGATAAATGAAATTCAAATTACAATGATATATAGTTTTTCATCTGTTAAATTGGCAAAAGTGAAAGCATTTTCATGCTTGGTGATAATAAGGGTGTAAGGGTGTCATGTTTGAGGAGTTTATTGGTTGGGAGGAACTGAATTTAGGACACCCTTTCGTTAGGACAATTTGGCTAGGTAGATATAAAAGACCTTAAAGGTGAGTTTTTCCTTTGATCCATCAGTGCCCTTTTTTTTTTTTATTTCTGAAGTGAAAATATTTTAATGTTTTCTTTTTCTGATTATGTAAATAATTCATGGTCATAAGAAATTCAAACTATAAAAAAGTTAACAAATTATATGAAAATTACCTAAAAGCGCTACCATTAGTGATAATACTATTAGTATTTTGGGAGCATCCCTCCTTATCTCTCTGTCCATATGTAAACAGCCATATATATCTTTGCATAAATGGAATTATAGATTCTCTTTTTGATTATCAGCACTTGCTTTTGTGTAGTCTTAATATATTATTCACTCCTCCCTACCTCATGGTATTTCTGTTGCTATGGAGTGACTACCTAAATTGGGACAAAG